TTTCACCAAATCTGAACCATCATCTAAAAAACTACCAAGTGTTTTTGTTTTTCCAAAGTAGCTAAAACGGAACATTATAATATTTGGACATAACATAAAGGTTTGTAAGGGACCATAAAGATCAGTATTCAAATAAGTCATAAGATTCATGATAAGACAGCGTACCAAAATAATCAACCGATTATTTGACTGCAAATAACGCTCAACTGCATTCTCCGTTGGGAGCCTTGGTGGAACTTGTTTGGTCCTTAATTGTGCCTCATCAATAGTTTCATTTAGTTCACTGCAAAATTCAAAATGTCAGGATTACTGCGGTATTGGGAATCTAGTTCTAAACAATTAGGTATCTTTACATCTTTCTCCTACTCCTAAAATTACAGCATTAATAGTAAATAACCTAGAAGTATAATTAATTAGGAAAATCAAGAAAATAAAATCAATGTTTTATTTATTTCTTTAAGAAAAGCAGTACAGGATGTTTTAAGAGATAGAAGAGCAGACTAAAGAAAAAGAGGCAGAGCACAATCATCCAAAATAAAGGAAGATTATTAAATCCATTTGTTTGTACAGCGTTCCTTATCCTTTGTATGATTATACTAATTGACAATCTTTCTTTATTTTGGTTGATTGTGCTCTCCACCACCCTCATTGGAAATCACAAAGTTCTGATTTATAAGACCAGATAGATATCGTGAATACTCTATCTACATTTATACCTCACAAAAGTTTCTGCCCATTCCTGAGCAGTGTGGGTTGTTACATGTTTAAAGTTATGCTTATGTCTCTTCTCTCGTTCTTTTGATTTCATATTCAGAGCCTTGGCAATTGCAGCAGCAACTTCCGTGATGTTCCAAGGGTTGACCAGAATTGCCCCAGCGCCAAGTGACTGTGCAGCACCAGCAAACTACACAGAGAATACCAAATGTTAGATCAAGAGAATACTTTAACATCCAGCTTAACATAGATATCTAGTTAAAAGAAACAAATATACGCAAAAGCTACGTTTAAAAACAATAAATGAGAGGCATTGAGAGCCCTCTATAAATAGAGACCTATAATCTTTACAGGAATAAGAGATGAAACTTTGTATCTAATTTGTCCAAACTATAAATTGTAAAAGTTTAAGAGCAGAGAGCACTAGTACGAATTTAAGACCAGATTTTTAAAATACTAATAGGTTTATAAGGGAGTGGATTTGTTTAATTGCTATGGATTTAACTTACTTCGACTCATTTTCTAACAGGTACAATTACCTAAAGACTTAGACTGTACGAGAAAGTTCCAACTACTAATTTTTTAATCAATTCTTTATTAATTATTCAACATTAACATAGAGTACGCATTGATAAATTTAAAGAAATGACAAATACACGATAAAGTTCTAGTAGTTACTTCGCTGAGAATGAGAACCCCTTTCTTTTTATCTTGGCAAGCCACAAATTCGTAACTTACAAGATTCATTCCATCCCTTAAAGAGGTGACAAGTGCTACATCTGGGTAAGAGACAGGCAGTATAAACACAATATTAGCAGAAAATTTAAATAAAAAAAGTGAATATCATCAGCAAATAACCCTTGGTCCTTCAATGACAACTAA